ATAAGGTGACTAAAAAGAAAATCACGAGCGCCAAAGGACATAATGTTTCTTCTCAAACAATTTATAAATTAAGAACATTGTTCTCGCCAATTAAAAGGAACAGGATCGTCGCGAATTTCGCGCGAGTGCAACAGGCCGCACACTTTTTAATAAAGGAATCTGCGAAAAAATTTCAAACAACTGCAACGCATCCTCATTCAACAGCTACCTTGAGATTCATTTCATTTGCTTCATTTGTTATAAACCTAAAGCTGTCACTCATATCTCGATGATATCTTAGGACGTGCATAAACAGCGGGAAAAAGCCGTTAAACTCCAGAGAGAAAGACAAGAAAAAGAGGAAAGGCCAATTATTCGTATGTCAACATATCCCAAGGAATGATTTCGAACGAACTTCGTGCGATCGTCCTCGAGATCAGTCGGTGACACGCGAATGACAGCAAAGTTGCAGTGACAATCGAAAAAATGCCGGTTAAAGCAACAAGGAAATAAATTAAGTCAGTACAACCATCGTAAATAGTGATTAACACGTTGAGTGCCACATTGTTACTCTGTTCGTTACTGATTGAATCTCGTTAAGACAATACAAGCCCGCATTATTTACGTCAATTAATCATAATTCCAACGTACTAAAAAATACTTGAGTTTACCGCTAAAATTATAAGACGCTATTATCGTAAACATTATCTATATTTAACAAGAATATAATAATGAGAGAAAAGTTTTTGGTATTTGTGTGATTATAATTGCATCATAAAATGTTATGAACTACATTTACACGGCACTCTTAATAGGGTTTAATAACATCTTAGTAGTTATGAAATTGATCAATCATAGCTATTCCTCTAAAGAATGGCTGTGATTATTACATCCGATTCAGAGTGACCGTGTAAACGTAGTCATTGTTAGAAGATCTATTTTTACAATTATTTTTACTGTCATAATATTAGTAATAATGATTACATTTATAGTTTTATATGCTGAAAAGAAATATATGGTCGTATTCGAAAATTACTGTAATTTTATATTGTTTGTAAGTTTATGTTATTTTGATTGAGAACTCTTAATATAATAATAATCATTTTATCATGTAATTATAGTCACAAATACTTTCATCTTCGTAAATAAGAAGTCATATCTTCAATTAGAATATATTCTGAAAGTGTATTATCTAAAACTTTTAGAGTGAATTGTCACTTTGAAGAAACTTTTAGAGTGAATTGTCACTTTGAAGAGACTTTTTCAGAATTGATTCAATTTTCTCACTTTTTAGAGTAAAATTCTATTTTAAAGAATTTAGAGAATAAACTTGAGATTGAATAAAATTGTCAATAATTTATTATTACTTATAATAGAGTCGCATGCGTGTAATCATTGATCGTTTATTATCTTTGAAATTTACACTTTTCATTTTATTCATCACGAGTCGTAATGTAACGTAAGTAAGAAATATCTAGGCATTAAACGTTTTTTCGATAAGATCTCGCCGATTAAAGCGAAGACATTTGTGCGCATATAGGATATTCAATTACTGTTAGGTATTTTATATATATATATTACGCACTTAAGTGCCTCCGCATTACATAGAACATAATCAGTGATGCGCGGTATCTTTGCACGCAAAATTAACAAATAGTCAGCTGGCACTCTGCGTGTTAATTCGCGAGAATTAGGGGACGAGGAAACGGAGACTAGGTTCGCGCAAATAAGCCAGCTTGCGAAAAATGAAGCGTGGCATCTACTTAACGAGTTATCGGCAGTGATAGCGACGACCGGTCTCAACAAATCGTTGCTAAAATAATACACGTACGATCGTTGAAACCGGTCGATTTTCCCGGACGATCAATTTCCGGGACATGTGCGACGGATCGTGATTATATTTCTCCAAGTTTCGGATGCCGCAATTGACGCTCTCGTTTTTTATCTTTTGATGAGATCAGCATTCGCGAACGCACACGTCGCAATACGATTTCTTTCGATATCCGCCGTAATTCGTTCTGTTATGGTCGGATTGAAAATCTGCGAGATAATAAAAATCTACGAGAAATAAAAAAATTATACTGCCGTGCACTAAAATACGAGTACGAATCGGGTGACATTTTCGCGAATTAAGATCGATGGAGGAGAGACGATAAAAGAAGCCAAGCTCGAAACCTACGTTAGTGTCACAACAGATTATCTTGCGTTTTCCATCACTTGACCTGAACTGTACTCGAAGGTGTATCAAAGATCCAGTATTCTCATAGTCACGATAAGAATAAACTGCAGGTTTCTATGAAGTTGTCAGCATCGTTTTAGAAAGAGTGAGGTAATTTGAATCATATTGCTCTTTCTCTGTCAAGTTGAAGAGAAATGTTGATTCAATTCTTTCTAATGGAGTACAGATACTAAGATCAGAGAATATGCAGTCTATACTTATTACGTCTAGTATTCTCATCTGCTCGATCGAAGGAGATCAAGTATCGATTGTAAAAAGATTTCGACTTTTGCATGTGAATAATATGTTATTAATGATATAACACATCAATAATTATATGTTAATATTATATTGCAATATATAATGTTATATTATATTAATATACATGTATATTAATACAATGTATTACGTTAATGTAATATTAATATTTAATTACGATGTATTATTCACAAGAATACTTTTTCAAAGAGCGACAAATCTTTGAAGAACAGGGCATCGATACTTGTTCCTTGTACATCTTATATTCCTTATACAAAGGAAAAGAAGAGGTCGATACTTTGAGGCGAGCACTTTGTCTACGACGAGATTAAACTACATCGCACGCTTTACAAACTATTCATTCATCACCTCGATGTAACATAATATACGTGATTTTTACACACATATATAATATATATTTTTTTATCTACATTCGTTAGTATAAATCCCAGTACGCCTAAGTTCCATATCACAAAGACATGCCGTTCGGTATCACGATTTTTAATCCGCCGATCGCTCCGATCCCCCTCGAGCTTAATTGACTTCGCCGCTGTTCGCTGCTATCATTTGCCGGCTGCATCAACACTCTTTTCACTCTCTTCTCTTTCGTTTTTGTTTTCTCATCACGTTTCTCTCCTTCGTCGTTGTCTCGTCACTCATCCACGCTCGGCTCTTACGACTGTCCGCCCCGCACACATGGTTTTGTTCGGTTCAACTAAATTTAGCGATTTCGCATCGCCAGAGTCATCGCGAGACGCCCGGTTGCATTGTTCGCGGACTACATGCTGTTGTGTTCCGAAAGCTGTTCTTGATAAACAGATCGCCCGACGATTATAGTCGACCACAAAGCAAAGCTTGAAATAACTCGGGGAAAATCAGTGACGGTAAAGGGCTACTTGAAGCGCATCAGTGTTTAGCAACGGATGGTTAGCGAGGAAATGATGCATGTTAATGATTAATGATTTCTATATTGCGCAATAGTATATTTGCACTTGGATAAAATTACACATTAGGAAATCGATTACCTATATCAGCTTGGATCGAGTTCTCTTTTGCCTTTTTTCGTACATACTTTCTTTCGTACAAATAAATAAACACTCGCAAAATTTCTTCCCGGTTGCCGAAAAGAATTACTTAGGAAAAAACACGTTTCGTTTCTGACATGCTTCTAAAATATTCACGGGACGATCATTACAGAATAACACATTACAATCATTTTCTCCTCAAACATAAAATTAATAATTAATTAAAACATTTTCAACTTATACGATTTATAATGTATAGTTCCTAATTTTTAACGAATAAAATTATTAATAATTAGTGAATCGATGATACGAATGTATTTGAGCGGCTTTTATATAGAAATTATTTACATTACGTATGAAAAGAACGATTTTAATCGTTACCTAAAAGTTCAATTAGATATGTAGTTTAGTTAGAAAATAATTTTGTTAAACCATCAAAATAATTATGTAGAATATTCAAATAAAAATTGGTTACTAGAATGTCAAACCTTTTTGTAGCATTGCTCATCATATTTGAGATTCCTACGTAATTATTTGGATGGTCCAACAAAATGACTTTCAGATCTGTATCTAGTTAAATATTTAGATACTTCAGTAAAATCATTCTTTCCAAACACTATCGTGTTCCTTTCTTTAAAGTTGTAAAAGTCTATTTCTGAGTTTTCCACATATAAAAGCCGTCCATTCATGGTAGGATCTACGAAGTACCGATAATAATGCGGAACTAAAGCGGTCACAGGACATTCGAGTCGTTCACCCCGCATGAGTACGAAAAATCTCTTTTATTTTCGGACACGGTTCTTTGTCGTGTGTCCTTTTAAACCTGACTTCTCCCTACAGAGACGCATAAGACCTGACGTATAAAACCGAACGTGCTTTATGGGGAAAAGGACTTGAAAGACGGATAGTGCGTGAAAAACGCGACTGTCTCGTCTCTCCCGAGTGAGAACCGCGTGGATAGAAAGCCGCTATTGAACACGAGGCATTTTCATCCGCGATAAAATATACGCAGCACGAATAATGAGCACCGACACAAGAATGCGCGAGGGGGAAATTAACCCAGTTAGCTCAGAAGAAGCCAAGAGAAGTTAACAAACCGGGCGCGATTCTTCCCGTCGTAAATTGCACGTCGCGTCGTTCATCGCATCGAATTAAACGCTAGAGCGTTGTAAAATAAGCGAAGTACAACGTAACCGCCAGGTACGATATTTTCCCGGTGTTTCCCTGGTTCACCGCGCTTGCTTTTATAATCAAAACTCATTTCAGAATTGAGTGAACTTTGAGTTCGGTTGAAACCGTAATGAATGTTCATAATTCATCACTAATGGATCCGTGTAATGAGCAATTTGATGCAGGGAAGGCAGCTTCCTCTATTCCCTATAAGAGCCTCATAATTACAATAATACGGAAAAAAGAATAATAAAGTGCATAATTAATTACAACAATTAAAAGTTAGCGTCAAAAGCATAAAAAAAAAATACTTTCGGCTCATTTCAAGAAACTAAAAAAAAAAAGTTAAAATAATAATTGCATACCGTGTCCCGTTCCACTCGATTAAAACAAATATATATATAAACACATATCTAAACGCATACAGTACAAAAAAATTTACAAAACAAAATTACAAAAAAAAAATTCGTAAAAGCTACAAACTATACAAGATCGCATCGTCACATTTTTACAATGTTCTTCTTCATGAGCGATTCAATTGACTCGATTTACGAGCTTCAAATTGCTGCCGCGTTTTTGCCAAGGGTGTGCAACAAATCGGACGTATTGATGACGGAAAAATTCATTTCAGTATATTTTCTTTCAATCACAGAGAGACGACAGTGTCTTCAAAATCAGCGACAAATTATTCTATTCAGTCGTATACTTCTTCATCGCGCTTATTGTGAGCGAATCGTTATATCTGCGCCGCCATCATCGGCGACATCGCGACACGACGATATATCTGACGTGCTATATCATGTACGACCTATCGAACCGTCGCGGTTTCCCCGGGTTTCCCTTGGCACAATGACCTCCAGGTCGCTCGAACTACTCCCGCGCATCGTCGACGGCTCGTAAGAGACGATCGACGTGCATTAATCATGATTCATGAACCGAGACTTATGTGAATGTAAATCAATAGACGATTCCTTTGAGACTCCAGCTGACTTCTGTTTGCGATTAATCCGACACGGCCTGTCGTCTCATCTCCGATGAAATCGATTGTGTTGAAGAAAATATGTCGCGCCAACGGAGGAAGGATAAATGATTCATATTATGTGCATTGCGATAATGCTGACAATAATATTTACATACTTTTCTATACTTCCTTTTCTATCCTTGTCAATCAGTCGATTTGTTACACAGATCTGAAAAATTGGATTTCATATTTCGTCGTTCATCTTGAATAAAATGTAAAGTCCAATTTTACAAAGGGCGAAACACAACCGAGCGGTGAATGAGTGGCTCATATAGTCGCGTTGTCGAGTGTTGAGATCGTCCTCACGATTTCCGGCACGTTTCGAGAAGAAGAAAAAGTCCTTTGACTCCATGATTGTACGTTCCGCAAAGGACTCGACGACTCGAGTGTTTTAAGATGCACAATCGCGTGTTGAATCGTTCTATACCTATTTACGCGGATTTCTGACGCTTTGCTAGAGTTCTTAAGGTATTGTCATAGCAGAAAAATTCGTCTCTTATTGAAAAGCCGACCGCATATTTTCACGGCGGAGGCAATGGCAACGGAAATGAATCCCGAAACGAGCGGACCAGAGAGCAACGCGAGGCAATGTCGCCGTGGCTGAAGGTATGATCAAGGTTTATCACGCAATCGACCTTGTAACGCTAGGCTAGGCGTGAGGCATGAAATCAGTTATAACATTGGTGATAAATCCGTGAAAATAAGCCTTCCTTCGCTCAATCTTTTTTTTTTCTAGACTCGTACGATTATTCTTGAACAACGTCTTCAATTCCATCGATAACGTTAGACGTTCGCTTTTGAATTTTAGGAGATGAACGCTTTACCTTCAACCTGCAAAGCGGCGTATTTCATAGAAAATAGATCTCGCCTCTTTTCATCAAATTATAACCGATTCAAACCTCATCGACAATCAGCTACGGCGACCGTAGAAACGCGACGCGTGAATCACAGCAGTATCCGAGATCGATGATAAGACAGCCACCCACCCTTTCGACCGCAAGTAACCTTCCTCGACGCCATGTCGAGGCGGCGCAGCTCAGACGTCGCCCGAACGGCAGGCAGCGAGACACAGCCGAATTTCACGTTATTAGGTGACCGAGATCGGATCATCCTTATCTTTACGTTATGCGACCGTTTCGTGACGAAACGCTCGTCAGTAGCAATGCCTAAAACGGCAGCGAGCGAGCGAGCGAGCCGAAGGGAGGAGAAAAGGACGACTGGCGTCACGTCTTGACCTATCGTCTCAACTCCTCGAGGATCTCCTGGATCCCCGGCTGGAACGAGAGTACCAACCGGCTGGAGCTGCTCGAGGAGCCGTGAGAGCCGTAACTGTCGTGCGACGCGCCATTGTTATTATGCTGCTGTTGCTGCTGCGTCTGGTGCGTCTGACGAGCGCGTTGCGACTTGCCGGTCGTCGCACCGTCGACAGAATTGAGCGACTGATGGCTGCTACTCTGGTTCGATCGATGACTACTGTGCAACTGGGACTCGGACAGACAACCGTAAGACCCGAGTGGGTAGGGATCGAAGATCGTCACCGGCAACTCGCTTGTGCGCTCTCTCTGTTGCTGACGTTCGGTCTTGCTCGTGGAAAGATCGCCGCTCGACGCATTGTTACCGCTCTGCAACTGATTGTTCGTCTTGCTGGAACTCCTGCTACTGACGGAATTGAGCGACTGGTGGCCGCTGCTCAATCCCCCCGTCGTGCCCCAAGTACTGCCGTGCAGCTGGGACGCGCCGTACGCTGACGAGTAACCCGCGTAAGCGGACACCACGTCTTCGACCAAACGGTTACCCCTTTGCTGACTTGTCGTCTTATTCGCGGAGATGTCGTCACTGGTGTTATTGCCGCCCTGCAAACTGTTAGTCTTGCTAGAGGAGCTCCTGCCACCACCGCCACCGCCGCCACCAGTCCCGCTAATGGAGTTCAGTGATTGGTGGCCGCTGCTTAATCCCCCCGTTGTGCCCCAAGTACCGCCGTGTAATTGGGACGTATTGTACGAGTAACCCGCGTAAGCCGACACCATGTCCTCTACTAAACGGTTCCCTCTCGTCTGACCCGTTGTTTTACTCGTCGAGATGTCGTCGCTGGTGTTATTGCTACTCTGTAGACTGTTAGTCTTGCTGGAACTCCTGCTGCCGGATGCGGATGTTCTCAGAGTGGGACCGCCGCCGGTGGTCGCGGGTTGCGCCGATGTCACCGCCGGTAGCGTGTCGTTCTTGTCGCCCGGTGGCCTCGGTAATCGACGGCGTAGCCACGGATGCCTTAATGCTTTGTTCGGTGTCATTCGACATTCCGGTTCCCATACGAGGCAACGCCTGAGAAAGTCCAGGAACAACACATCGTCGCAACCCTTCAGGGCGCGCTCGAGATCGTGCGAGCCCGGCGGGCCGCGCAGCTTCCCTCGTCTCGAGAGACCCCCGCTTAGCACTGTCGTACCGTCCGGCATTGCCGTCGCGGTGCAGTACTTCGGGTAGCCCTTCGAGCTGATGAACTGACGCGACCGTTTCGAGTTTTGCAGCAATCGTTGTGGCGGCATGCCTAGCATTTCGATGATGCACGCCAGTTGGTCTGCCTCGTCTTCGCCTGGTAACAGTGGAAAACCGGTGAACAATTCTGCCAGAATGCAGCCGAGGCTCCACATGTCGATCGGCATCCCATATCTTGCGCCTAATATCACTTCTGGTGCTCGGTAGAAGCGACTCTGAATGTAAGTGTATACCCGTTGATTCTCGTAGCAACTGGAACCGAAATCTATCACCTGCAACACACGGAATAAACTCATTAATACAATGAATTAATGCAATTTTGAAATATGATAATGACATAAAGTACAGGTGATAGGAGTCAATGCTGGTTATCAATTATTCTTAATATTAAATATATAAACCTCGACCTTGAACGTTTCCATTCATGGTTTGAGTCTTCATCAGCAATCTTTCCTCCTAACACAACGGCATGGCTGGATTATTGCATTACAAAATAATATCTCCAACATTTTTCCTCTCAAAAAATTTGAACCGTTAACTGTTGCAAGGTAAGTACAAACATACTCACAAAGTTAGAAAGCTGAGCAATGAGAACTCAAGCTAAAATTATATAAATAATTAAATTATCGTATGTATAAATTTGAAAATTAATTATCACCTCACCTCACACAGTCGACGCCTCAACGCTGGACAATAAATATGTCGCATGCAACATTTTGTGCATTGTTAATAAGTTAAAAATTATCGTCAAAATTTTTAAATATTAACTGAGAGAACAATTTGTGTCTTGTCATTTCGACCGTCGCAATTTTGAATAATACGTTAATAATACATGGAAAGAATAATGATTTTATTAAAGTATCTAAACATTTAGATAGATACAAAACTGAAAATAAATAATTCTATTGAATTATAATTATGTAGAGCGCTCAAACTAATTGCTAAAATGTTATAACCTTTTGTAGCATTGTTCATACTTTAGTTTCCTACATAATTATTTTGATGATTCAACGAAATTATTTTCAGATTTGTAGCCACCTAAATTTTTAGATATTTTAGCGAAATTGTTCTTTTTATGAATTTTTGAAGCGCTCGTGCGATAATTTGGAAATAGAGAAATTCCGTTTATTGAAAAACAAAATTATTCTTTTCAGAAAGAAAAACTAGAACTGTTACAAAAAATATGGAATATTTATAGAAAGAACAATTTTACTGAAATATCTAAAAATTTAGCTAGATATCTAATATAAAATTTATTTTCAGAGCTAATATCCATCTAAATTTTTAGATATACTGTAGCAAAATCTTTTTGTGTAGAATACAATATTCGGAATATTTACAATATAGAATTATAGAAAATTTGTTGTCACATAACTCAATTTATCCTAGCCCGACGTACCATCGTAACTATGTACATGTCGAGACATATTCATTCGTGAGAATCGATCAAGTTCGTATAAAGCTCAGGTTCGTTAATAATTTCTGCGCGCAAGTGGCAGTAAAGCAGTGACGGCGAAACGGGATGTACTCCGAATACACGCGCATTCGAATATATCTGTTTCCAGTTCGTAAATGATACACGTGGCCCATGTAAAGTAAAGCATATGTATCGTTTATGGCGCACCTGGCAGCGAACGTGTCGTAATGATGGCCCGATAATTTTACCTCACGTTCGTCGAACGTAATACCATTTCAATCACAACGTGTCTCGGTAACTATCGCATGCAGTGAAGCAGCTCGTCCATTTCGCAATGCGATTTCAACACGTTTTCTTGTCATACTCGTATAAAATAATATTTCTTTATTCCGCGCAATAATATTTAAACGATGTAATTTTATGTAATAAATGTATGTCTTTCTGCGAACTATTGTCAATGCAAAAATTATTTACTAATTATTATTTACTAATACAATTTCTTATTGACAACATATTTCACTTTACACTGTTAAATCTATAGTGTCGAATTTAATCTAATGTGAGTCGCTACTGCCCCTACTAAACTATATCGTTATTTTTTATTAAAATATATATAATTAAATTTAACATTATATCGTGTCAATTTGATATTGTAGAATGTTAAATATAATCATTAAATATAATCATGTTTTTGTGTAAAATAACAATATGATTGATTAGAAGCAGTGGCGACTCACATTAAGTTAAATTTGACACTATAGATTTAACAGTGTAGTTTTACGTATATAGCTTTTGCACTGTGACATACTGTAACATGGATCTTAATAAAGTGATACTGATGCTCGAGAATGAAAATCCAGATCACTGTCAGTGTGTTTTACGTCAATCCATCAATATTAACTATACACGATCAGTAATACTGTCAGTATTCGTTAATCGAGTGAGATCACCTTTTTACTCTAAAAAATATCAGTGTGGATTTAACATTTCTAATGTGTTAACTCCCATGCAGTGTCTATATAATTCTCATTGTGTTAATTGATGTTAACATTACCATCAAATCTCTGGTGTTTAGTGTTTATATCAACATTATCATGATGTGGATTTAAAACCATAGCGTTAAATTCACATCATATTGGTTAATATAAACACCAACATGGCTATTTTTATTTTTATAGGATATAAAAACAAAAATATAAATACAAAAATGTCTATGTCTCTATTTGCATTGCGATACAAAGCGACAATTAATTTTTCGCGCTGTTACGATTTATATTTTCAGTATATTTTCTTCTATAATTTACGACTTGGAAGTCGTCAGTATTATTACGTTTCTCGATACTTGGGACGACTGGCAAAAGATGTGTAAGACAGATTGCACTAGCAAACATCGCGGTCGTGCAATTCGATAATCCATGCCTTCTGGCCTACTTTAATATTTCGGGTAACATCGTCCCTTTCGTGTAGCGAATAGAAACAGCATGTTGGAGATTGTCCAGGATTCAGCTCGGCTCACTTTAGACTCGACTGTTCGGTCGCGATGCGCGATTTCAATGAATTATAATTTCCGACAATCGATACCTGATGCGCAACCTCCAACGAAATCTATTTAAAAATAGCATATCTTCATGGATCAAGAAACTGAGGTACCAGGTATTCATAAAGCACTTTCTAGACTCTTACGTTTCTTCATAATATAATCAAAAATACAAAAAACACAAAAACACTTCAACAATAAGGCGATCTGTAATACAGTATACTCAAAAAGTATCTTCAAGAAAAATGTCTTTTTAAAAAGAACATCCTTATTTTTAAAAAGAAAACATTAATTATAGCAATTTATTAATAAAGAATACGATAGGTTGTATATTTCTCAAAATTATTTTACCTAAAAAATGTGTAATAATTAAAATATATTTTCTTAATAATAAGCAAACGCGAAACATTGTATTGTTTGAACGAACAAAAAGTATTAGTATAGTTGAGAAATTAGCTTCTAAAATCATGAATATGATTACTTTCGCGGAACTCTTGTTGTTAGGATAAAATGTACTTATTGCTCACATAAATTAATGTTTATTTTTTAGAAATAAGGTTTTTTTTTTCTAGAAATTGTCCACGTACAAATACATGATTTACATTCATAATACATAACATTAATATCATTACACAATCTGTCGATAATATCTATCTTAGATATATAATTAGTCGATGTATAATTAAATTTTCCATTAAATTTTCCGGCTTAAATGAGAAGAAACTGGTCGAAAGAAAGCAGGAAAGAATTATCTAGGACACTTTGTACATCCTGCTTTCGCAGTTATTGCGCGAAATGATGAGCAGGAGAAAATAATCCGCAATTAATCAAGAACCACAACCATGAAAGCATAATTCGGTGTACACCGTATATTCTCTGTATCGATAGAAAGTCCGCTTTCCAACGCGCTTTGGAATGATGCTCGTGTTCAACCTGCGTTATGTCTACAGGAAAATACATCGTAGAAGGATGTCCCTTCTAAGAGAATTAATCGCCATAATTCACAATAAATTTCTGAGAATAAACACGTGACATGTTTGATTAGTTTCAATTATATCCCTGAATGAATCAGCATTTGGCACAAGTTCGAGCAGTGAGTTCGATGAAAAATAGCTCTGCTTATCCCACGACCCCAAACTTCGACGTTTCACTTGACCCCCGTGTGGTAGACACGTAAGCAATCTCCACGTGCGTCATCGTTACAAAACATTCGGGGTTGATCGATTTCAAGGGGCGACCGACCGGCTGGCCGGAAGTTTTCGTAAAGTGCACTTTTGACAGAAGTACCCGTCATGCAGATACCCTAAAATCAATTTTTCCTCTATGACGTCAACAGCCCATTTTTAGAATTCCAATGTAGCTAATGGAGCTTCGGCTTTACCACAAAGAGTTTCAGAGTGAGTTCAAACGATTAAACATAAAAAACAAAAGGACCTACATCATTTTTTATTTCGGTTATATGAGTCCTTTTAATACTTCACATACGCGAAATATTTCAAAGAGAAATGAAATTGGCAAAAATCTAATTTGCAAGCTCTCTATTATTGCTTTTTTAATAACTTCGCAATTTAATGACATTTCCAAAAATATCTTCCGCTGGAAAATTTTTTGTCTCACAGCATGTTTATTATGCATACCATTACGCGAAATAATATATTCACCCCTGCATACATGCAGCTGCAGCAATGCAAGACATTCGTGGGGAACGCGACCTCTCACCGAATTTGCAAATGGTCGCGAATATTTATTGAAAATTAACTCTACGAAGTAAACAGCTCATTTTTAGAATTTTCAATATAATTGATATAACCGGTGTTTTCTTTAGTTCTTAAAAATTATGTGACTTATGCAAAATTACAAAATCCCGCATGTAATTTTCATAATTTGTATAAATTATTACCGAGAGAACCATGTTTCGGTATTTGTGACTATAATTGCGTGATAAAATAATCTATTTTTGGTATATAAAACTATAAATATTATTATTACTAATATCATAGCAGTGATAATTATAAAAATGGAGCTTCTAACAATAATTATTTTCCCATGCAATTATAATCATAAATACCAAGCATTTTTTTTCCCATTATCAGTGTGGTAATTTTTAAATACGTCGATGTTCTCAATTTTATTCTCTTTTCTTCGCGTTTCAGTAATTCCCAAAGAAATTGCATTAGTCTTCCTCACGGAACGATCGATCCGCGTTTTATTTTCGAACTCCATCGAGAAAGTCTTTTTCAATAATTTTCTCTTTAAAGCAAATAGGTCGAGATCAATAAACAGCACAGAGGCAGGAAATGAAAAGAGCAACTGTATAG